ACAAAGGAGGGTACTGAGGACACAATACTGATAGACAGACACCTTTGTGTTCAGGATTAACAGCTTGTTGTTCCAGACACATGGGTAAGTTTGCCAAAGGTGACAGAGGCTTAGCAGATTCTTACGTCAAGTTCTTTATCAAGACTCAGTTAGCTGGCAAGAGTTGATCCAAGACAGTAGAAGTGGTCTACAATGTCCAGAGCTTCATTATTAACATAGATTTTGGGTGGGATCATTGGCCATGTGTAGGAGGTGCATGCAGGTTTACCCCCTGAGATTGGAGGTGCACCCCCTAACACAAGTGCTTCTGGTGGCACCTGCCGGCAATTGATGCTCACCCCCCCCCACACACACACACACTGCCAACACCACTGTGGACACCTGTGGGAGCTCTCCACTCGCCGCCACCACACCCTCGCCACTGCCACTGCCTGCGGGCAGTCACTGTGCTCCCCCCCAGCCTCCAAAGGCACACATCATTCATGGGTGGGATCTTGGTTTCCTGTTCGGACCATTGATTAATCCTTCTTGACTTTACTAGGTTTAAAATGCCTTGGCTTGGATTGAAAATGTAATAGAAATATTTATATATTGGTGAGTACTAATCTGTTTTGTGTATGTATATAAAAATTCTCAGACTATCCATAGTATCAAGAGCTATAGCTATATATAGCTATAGCTATATAGGGTGTGTATAGTTTCTTCTGGAAAAAAAATGCTTGTAGACTTACTTCTCTGATATAAATGCCACAGTACCCTGAGGCACCCCAAAGTGCATTGCTCTGACACTTCCACCTCCCCTCCACAGAGACAACTTGGCCAAACGTCATTGCTCTGCCAAGCACAGATCGAATCCCACCCCGTCAGCTGTTAGACCCTCTGATCCACAGTAGGCAGGGGAAACTAATTTGCCAGAACATGACCTGATCCACCAGTCCTGAACATCTAACATGCACCACCCTGAACTGGCCTAACCCTGTGTCCAGAGTTTCTGGAACCCCCTGAGCCAAGGACACAAATTCCACCCTTGCCATTCCCAGAACCCTCTGGCCCACCCCCTAGATGGACCTGGACTCTGTAGACCCCAACCCTCATGTTCCCCAATGCCTCTTGACCCACCCCCAACACAGACCCAGAGTCTGCAAATCCCATGCCTGCCATTCCTGGATATCCTGACTCAAACTCCTAGGAACCCAAACCCTGAAGACACCAGACCTGCTATTCCTAGAGCCACATAAACTACCCCTACCATGGACCCCAGAGACCTAACCCCTTCCATTCCCTAAGCTCCCAGACCCATCTCAAATATGGACTTAGACAGGCCCACCCTGCCTCTGCCGTTTCCACAGCTCCCAGAGTCCCCACATCCCCATGGACCTGGACCCTATCTCAAACGCTGATTTCAGTCTGAGGGGAGGAGGTGTGGCTGGTCCGACTATGATGGGGGATGGATCTATGTAGTTTGGGGCTGGGGGGTGGGGGGCAGGGTCTGACTGATCTGAGTTGAATCCAAGTGAAAGCCTGGACAAACAACTGGGAAGGAGTACAAGAATACCACTCAGGCATGCAGAGATGAAGTCAAGAAGGTCAACATGCAATTGGAGTTGCAGATAGCAAGGGGCATGAACGGTAGCAAAAGGGTTTTTACAAGTATGTTAGCAACAAGAGGAAGGTCAGGAAAAATGTGGGTCCCTGACTGAATGAGGGAGGCAACTTAGTGACAAGCTGCTGAAGTACTCAATGCCTTTTTTAGCTCGGTCTTCACAGGCAAAGTCAGGTACCAGAATACTGCACCTGGCAGCACAGTTTGGGGAGAAGGTGAGCAGCCCTGAGAGATGAAAGAACAGGTTAGGGACTGTTTAAAAAAGCTGGATGTGTCAAGCCCATGGAGTTAGATGCATCTGAGTGTGCTGAGGGAGTTGGCTGATGTGATTGCAGAGCTGCTGGTCATTATCTTTGAAAACTCGTGATGGTCAGGGGAGGTCTCAGTTGATTAGAAAAGGGCAAATATAGTGCCCATTTTCACGAAAGAAAAGGATGATCCAGGGAACTACAGACCAGTCAACTTCACCTCAGTCTCTGGAAAAACCATGGAGCAGTTCCTCAAAAAATTAATTTATAAGCACTTGGAGGAGACAGTGGGGATTAGGAACAGTCGCCATGGATTCACCAAGGCCAAGTCATTCCTGACCAAGCTGATTGCCTTCTATGATAAGATAACTGGCTCTGTGGATGTGGGGAAAGCAGTGAATATAATATACCTTGACTTTAGCAAGGCTTTTGATGCTGTTTCCCACAGCAATCCTGCAAGCAAGCTGAGGAAGTATGGGTTGGATGAACAGACTGTAAAGTGGATAAAAAGTTGACTGGATTGTCGGGCTTAATGAGTAGTAATTAGTGGGTCAATGTCTAGCTGTCTCGAAGCCTGACTGCTGGAAGGGAGGGAAAAAAGGGAGAAGGGGGTGCCTGGGGCAGAAGGGACATGGTCATCTGGGACAGTTAATCTCAGTTAGCCTTGATCTGTGTCCTCAGATGCTATTGTCTGTCTCCAGGAAGACAAGGGAGCCTGTAAAGCATGCTGGGATGCATGCACAGGAGGCTCTGACTGGGTAGTGGCAGTAACACAAGCTGTCTGCAGAGCACCCAGCCGGGCTCTTTAACTCTTGCACAGTGCTCCCCCAGTAAAGGTCCTTGGATTATTTAAACTCTTATATGCACCCTGATCCTCTTACATCTCAAAGTATAATATGTACATAAACTTGAGAGCACCTGTCAATATGCCAATGGTAGTTTTAGTTCTAGAAATGATGACCTTTTTGTCACCCCCCCACTACACAGCCTTTCTGGGCACTAAGGAGCTGGGCAGAAATATGCATGAGTAAAGAACCATGTTTTGTTTGCCTTTTGCCAATCTTGTTAAACCAGAGAAAGACTCTATTTTCTGGTGAAATTCTATGAGTGTTTGTTATAAGAGGTGGTTTTCATGGGTGAGAATTTAAACTTGCATATGTAGCATTTCTTCATAAATGTATGTAGTGAACGAGTGTCTTAACTGTGCAGTCAGTAATGTTCAGAAGCTCCCAGCAGAGAGAGCAAGAGATCATGGGTCTTCAGGAAAACAACTTCTAGAGGATGGTGTGTTAGACATTTTTAAATAGTGTATTTTTCAATTATTTCAGATGTGTTGTCCTTTTCCAAACAAAGTGACTTGGTTGTTGTTTAATGTTGGGGTGGAACAAGGAACAAAGAGAACAAAATAGGGAAATAAAAAAACAAAATCAAGAAGATAAGGTAGCAAAACAAGTGCTCCATTTTAAAAGTTTCCTGCCCCAAAGTTCCGCTGTCCCTAGCCTGTCGCGTCTTGAGAACTGATATAGATCCTTTCAGACTTGTCATATGTATTGCAGTTTAATTATTTTGTAATGTTTGTAAGTCATGCAAACAGAATGTAGGCCACTAGTAATAGTCAGTGCACACTGTTACTTGAAAGTTTTTTTTTCTGTTCCCCTAGTTTTAAGAATGTTGCAGTGGTTCTTTGCCAGCACGTAGCCGTGTCAGGACCTGTTATGCATAACAGCTGGAATTTGATCTCATGGCCTCTGGAAGATAAGCAGAAAGTAAAATTGTTGTGCATCCCACGTGTCAACCTATTAAATATTTTATTTAATGCTAACAGTCTCACTGGGAAATGGAAACATGATTGTTATGAGCCCTTTAGTCCTGTACCTAAGCTGCAGTTATGGCCCCATTTATGAAATTCACACAGTATTCTGCAGTACTAGGCCTCATAGTTACACTGAAGGAAAGCAAGGAAGAATCAGTTATGGGAAAACTAAAATACCAGTACACAAGAAAAAAATATTTCTTTTGGTAAATACAGATTTTTTTTCAAAGACTTAAACTGAACATAAACCTAGTTTGGCAAACTTAAGTCATGGACTTCAAGACCAAGATGAACCTCACTTACATTTTGACAAAATAACAATTTTGCTTATATATATATAAAGCACATTTTTGCTTGCTTTATAGAGGATGAGCTTGTAAGGCATAGCCACTGAAATTGCTCACTTTCTATTGTGAAAGATGCTAGGAAGGGCAAATGACAGGGATTTTATATGCTAACACTTCCAATCTGGCACAATATATCTTGGTGTTTGAAGAAAATGGCCTTGGCTGGATACTTAGATTTATACCTTGCCTAGACTAAGGCATACATCTAAGCATGTCCCCTGCATGCTGTAAGTGAAAGGAAAAAAGTATTATTTTTTTCTTGAAACAATTGCTCCTATATCTCAGACATCTCTCAACGTGGCCATGAGAAACAATATTAGTATTATTGTTCTATACCATTAGTTGCAGGCAAAGCACATTGGTATGGAAACTGTCCTGGCCAAGTGTGACCTGTGAATAGCAATTCCCTATGACACCCATCTACCTGAGGTATTTTAAGGTATAAATCTAAGCATGTTCCCTGCATGCTAATTAAATGAAGGACTTGTGCTCTTGACTGATACAAAAACCCAGTCCATATTGTTTTAAAAGTAATTTGTTGCTATTACTAGGCTGATTGTTAGAAACAGATATTTTCATATATATGATTCGTGGTGAATTGATACAGAAGAAATGTCATGCTTAAAGAAGATGCTATGTATTGGGATACCAGTTCAAAATAGTCATGAAACAAATCTTAACCCCGGGCACAAAGTCTCCTAACCTACCCTTACCAGCTGGCAAAGCATACGGATAATTAAGTTGCCTGACAACATTACTGTCTGTTGGCATGGATGGAAGTAGAATTTTGAAAATAGTATTTAGATGCTATCTACAGTGTCTATTCCTCCATTTACAGAAGCTATCATTGCTACTGCCTTTTTTCAAGCTTAAGAGCTAGTATTCAATCTAGAGAATTACAGCAGCTATAGGCAGCAAGGGAGCTGGTGCTGTAAATAGTAACTGCAGTACATGGAAGCAAGAGGGGGCAGGCTGTGACAGTGGACTGGCCCAAGAAGGGATTAGGGCTCAGCCCTACCTGTGCTTGCTTAATTGCCTCCCCAGGTGTTGGGAGTTGAAGTTTTGTTCAGGGAAGTGAGACCAGAGCACAGGTTGCCTTTCTTGGTTAGGGGTTAAGAGTTGGGGGAAGGAGCTGTGGAAAAGACATAGAGAAAAGCTTAATTAGGAATAGATTGAGCAAGGGGTTTGACTACATGAGCCTTACTCTGCTGCTGAACTCATGAACTAGGTTCCAGAACTGAAACAAGATTATTCCTCTACAGACTCACTGGAGAAGGGGATGCAAAAGTTTTTAAGGTGCAAAGCTCTTGAGAATTGAGTTGGACTGAAAACCCAGCCTTAGCTTGCCATGTTGCTGCTTGTTTTGTTGGACTACTCATTTACCCCTGGAAAAGAGGTAAGTGCTTTTGGTTAGAGGGTACAATCATATAGAAGTACTAGAATCTGTTTATCCAAGAGTGGAAGTTCCTGAAGCCAGAAGAGGAGAAAATGAGGTTTGGACTATTAAGTGCTAAAGTAGTACTATCACAGGGAGAAGGTTTTTTTTAGGGCAGATGAATGGGGCAGCATTCTTCTCCCCAAAGCATAGAAAGGAAATTCTCAATCAGCTTTTAGTAAAAGCAAGGAGTTGCCCTTTCATAGCTTTCTCCTCCTTAATGTAAGCTCCCAAATACTATTCTCAGCCTAAGAAGAAACTAGTTGTTTGTTTTTAAGAAGGAATACAAAAATATAAAGCTCCTCAGGGGAATAAGAATTTTTAAAAAGAGGTTAACATAGCAAAGGGTAAACTTCCAAGGAGTCAGGACCCAAGCTGATTGAGATGGGACCTGGTGAGAGATACCAAGACCCACTTCTTCACCCACCTCAAATTATTGATTTCAGTAACAACAAAGGCTTTCTTTTGCTGATGAGCCCTTATGACTTAAGACCTTATAAAGGCAACCTTGTAAATCTGAGCACTTAATAACCAGGTAGATTACACCTATATCAAATTTTTGCTTCATTTATGTGATTCTATCCTGCCAACAAGGTAGACCTCTAAATCCACGTTTGTACATATTCTCATTGGCATAGTTTTCCAAAAATATATTTTTGACCTTACTAAAAGTGGGTGAAATTTGCAAGCTATACTGGTTTATGAGGGAAAAACATAGCTAAAATGACACAACTTCAGAATCAATGTGTGCAGTTGCTAGAGATTCTTCTTGTTTTGTCTGTGCTTCAGATTTGTCAGCTAAATTAGAGATGAAATATGACAATTTGCATCCAGGAATATTATTTGATATTTTCTTGTGCTTTTGTTCTTGAACAAGTAGATTTTTGTTTTTGGAAAGGCATCTAAAAATTACAGGAATAGCCATATATTTGGAAGGAAAGCTATATTTTATTTTCCTGAAAAATTACTACTACATTTGAAGGATCTTTAAATGTCACCATGCGTAACAATATTAGTATTTTTGTTCTATAACATTAGCTGCAGGCAAAACATATTAGGATGGAAACTATCCTGGCCAAGTGTGACCTATGAATAGTAATCCCCTATGACACCCATATATCTGAGGTATTTTAAGGTATAAATCTAAGCATGCCCCCTGCATGCTAATTAAATGAGGAATATGTCCTCTTGACTGATACAATCTGAACAAGATATACTAGGTTTTTGTATAACTATCATGATATAACCTTTACATATCAGAGAACAGTTTTATGGCATCCATAGAAAATGCCACAGATTGCTGCTACTTATGCAATGTATGAAAGCTGGGTAACATGAAGAGTGTTATTGTCAAATTGGAAGTGCACAAAAAATCTGCAGATCTGTTTATGCCTGAAGATATGATACTGCAAATAAAGCTTTCTGATTAAATTCTAAAATCTTTCAAAAATTGACTTATACTAAGGTATAGTTCTCTTGCCTTATGCTTTCAGAGAAACTTTTGAGGGTGGATTTTTCTGTGTCTCTTGTCTTCTAGTGCAAACACAAATATGCCTCATGATTTGTTAAGAAGAAAATTACCACCAGTAACAGTCCTTTTTTATGTGAAATTCTTGCCTCCCTGATAGCTACCACAATTTAGTGTTTGTGACTGTAACTGTTATACAGAGTGATACAGTAAGGAACAGAGTTTAGCATCCTGGTCATACATAAATGAGAGAGGTATCCTTGTGATGAATAAATGAGGGAAGTGTAAGTGTTTTGGCCAAAAGCAATAATAGGGCAAATGAATTTTTAGTATACACATTATTAGAAGGCACATTTATATTGTCTAAACAAGAAATTAGCACTTAATTTTGCAGGACAGATCTGTTAATTAGCCTATGGTATATAAGCCAAAGCAGTTAACTAGAAGCCTTAATCAGAAATGCCAGTTCAGTGAGAGAGAATTCAGCATGCTTGCAAGGAACATTTCAAAGTCCAGGTTAAATACTACACACAAATCAGTCTAAGTGTTTGGAAATCTATCTAAACCTGTAATTGTTAAAAGGCTTGTCTCTCATACACCAGTCTAAGAATGGCAGAACTAGGCCTAAGATGGGCTTGGTTCAATATTCACTCAGATCTTACCAATTTAGGTTAGACTGGTGAATCAAACTTCTGTACCAGATCCCCTATTGATTCAAGTTAGATAGCTATCCTCCAGCATCCCAGTCTTCTCAGCTGGTCTGACCAAGCTCCCAGTGGCCCCTGCCCCCAAACTTTCCCAGAGGTGAGCCAGCACAGATCATATATCCTCAGCCCTTCCTCCTGCCTGCAGCCATCTGTCAGCCACAGGCAAGTGGTGGGGTGAAGAAGGCAGGTGTCTTTTCCCTGCACAAGCCCTGGGACCTGGGCATCCATGTCCCTGGACCGTGCCCCCAAAACACATCCCAAAGCACTGTACAATATGAACCCACACACCTGACACTGAGCCCGAAAGAACCTCTATGCTAAGGCACAGCCCCACAAAGCCCAACCCTGGCTCTTAGCCAGGGATCCCCATGCCCCTGTGCTTGGGCACAACCCCATGGAGCCTGACTCCAGCTCCTGTACGCCACATCTTAAAGGGCAGGGACAGGAGCCCTCCCACCTGGACCCAAGCATGGATCTCCTTCTGCACCCCCACCCCCAGCAGGAGCCTGTGTGGACATATCAGGTGGTTCAGGATGACGGGGGGTAGAGCATTGGGACTGGCCTTCCACAGAGGCATCCCTGTGACATCTACAGCTTGCCCACTAGTGGCAGATACACCAGCCATGGTCATCTGGGGTACTGTAAAGCTTTTTTGGCCTGCAGCTACCAATTCCTGGAGTACTAGAGCAGTGCGGAGTGTCGGGGTGGGCTTTCCCATGCCTAGCAGCCAATCAAAGGTAGCTCAGGTGCTCAGCTGCACTCAACAGTCTCCAGCAGCCCAAGGAGTCAACAGGGCATGTTGGGAGATGTGCAGAGCTGCCCCCAACTTGTAGGGCTCAGCCAACATAGGCAGCTTGCATGCCCTTCTACCACAGGACAAACATGTATACTGTTTGCTGCTGATCTCACCTAGTCAGAAATGCCAGTTCAGTGAGAATGAAATGTTCCTTGCAAGCATGTTGAATTCTAAGGCCAGGTTGCACATTATACTCAAATCAGCCTAACTGACTGGAAATTGATCTTAACTCGTAACTGTAAACAGGCTGTATAGAAACTGTACAGAAAACTACACAGCTTAGATTCATTCCACTTTGGGCTTTTTGAATGTCTGTTCTTAGTCTAAGGAACTTAACAGAAGCCTGGAAGGCTTCCATGGAAATGTGCTTGGTGTCATACTGACTTGCCTGCCTGGTGAGATGTCATGTCTGCTACCATAGAAGGAGAAATTCGTAGTTATAATTTGACCCAGATCTTTCATAGCTACCTGTCAGGAGAGGGGGCAAGGAGGAAAGAGTATAGTTTATCATTTTCTTCTTAGAAAACCCAAACTAAATGCTACTTCAGATATTGGCAGTACAATTTCAAAATTCCTCCTCCTGTCCTTGCTGCAGCACTCTGTGTATCATGCAATGCACGGAGGCGTGCAATACTGGGTTATGACTTACAAATTAAAATATTCAAGTTCAGACATGATTCGCTTCCTCCACAGCTGCAAGTGAGATTTTTCCGTTAGCTCTTTCACTTTATGAGTAGTGGCTTTAATATTCTTACCACACTGTAAAGATCCCAACTTACAAGACAGAAAAATGACTGAAATTATGACAAGGGTTCTTTGCAAAGGGAAAAAAATAAAAGCATCTGGGAGAACAGGATGAGAATGTTTATCTTATGGAACTTGCAAACAAAGATAAGTGATTAGAAATAGTAATTCATTTAGGAGGCTCTTTAAATTCTAGTGATATACATTTTAACTTAGTGACTTTCTTTTTAAGCAGATACACAAAATAGCAGAGGCTCATCTATCAAACGGTATATAGAAAACATAGAAACATAGCCTCGGCCTGCACAAGCAATCGCCACCCCCCTCTTGGCAGTGCACGTGCAGTTGGCCAAAAGCATTACCGACAGACAGACAGAGTCCTTTATTATATTAGAATTTCTAGATACTGGGTCTATATACACACAATCCTGAAATTATCTTTTCCACATGGCTTATATAAACATACCTTCCAAATCAATATACTTGGAAGCAAGCGCTTATCGTGGGGGGCAATTATTGTGACTGGCGGGCTGCTAAATGAGTTTTAGTGAGCTATCAAGGGCCACAAGGGTAGCCCGGCCCCTTGACAGGTGCCCCACCCCCTGGTTTCTATCTTGGGACCGGAAGTCCTGCCCCTAACCCATGAACTTTGCCACCAGAGTGTTCTCTCTCCTTGCCCCTGGAAGTCATCCTTTTGGGAGGGAGGTGGGGGTGAGGTTGCCATCTTGGAACAAAAAAAAAAAAAAAATCACATCTAAAAATCAAAATAGCTATATATTTTGATATTTGATTTAGCATTTTTTATCATGGAAAAATCAAAACTCCCTGGCTCCCTTAACTCACAGAATGCAGATCTAGGCCCCTTAACCCCCTCAGGCCTGCTCGTGTCCCCTACCCATAGCCCCCTGCCCCTCCAGCCCTGCCAGAGGGGGCCCCTAGCTGACAGGGCTATGGGACCAGAGTCCCAGATCCACAACCCCCTGCTGCAGTGCTTGAACCCCAGCTGCTGCCTGTGGGAGGTGGTAGCCGCTGTGGTGGAGTGGAGCCTGGCTCCTCCCTCCCCCGTGGGTGGCACAGCTGGAGTGAAGCCCATGGGGGAGGGGGTGCAGGCTGCCTGCTGTGGGCTTGGGCTCCCTACCCTGCTGCCTCCCCCCCGAGGCCTCTGCAGCCCAGTGGCCAGGATCTGGTGTGACAGGGCAAAGCAGCACTTGGCAGAGAAGCTCCTTGCCACTGAGGGTTCTGTGCT